GGCGCAGCGGGACTGGCGCGGCCGCGCTGACAGGCGTCCCTCCCGGCCTCCGGGCCCGCCCCCGCGCGCCGATTGGCCGCCGCGGCCGTCCGTCGTGGGGCGTGGACGCCCGCCGCGCTCCTGCCGGGGCAGCCACGTTCGGTTGAGCTCCAAGTAGACCAGCAGCGGCGGCGGCGGCGGCGGCGGCGGCGGCAGCGGCGGTGCTGGAGGCGCAGAGGGCGGCGCAGGCAGAGCCGGGCGGCGGGCGCGCGGGCCACGAGCAGAGCGAGCGAGCGAGCGAGCTGCAGGCTCCGGGCGGGCGGCGGCACAGCTCAGGCCGAGCCGGCGCGGGAGGAGTTCCAGGGCGATGGGGCCGCGGCCGGGGCTGACGCTTTGACAGCTGGAAAGAGCGCGGAGCCAGCGCCGGGGAGGGAGGGAGCGCGGCGAGAGGAGTGCGAGAGAGCGGGCGAGCGCCGGGAGGGGGCCGGGAGCAGGGCAGCTCGGGAGACCGGACGGTAGCGGCGGCGGCGGCGGCGGCGGGCTCGGCGCCCTCTTCTCTGCAAGCCATGTTTGCCAAAGGCAAAGGCTCGGCGGTGCCCTCGGACGGGCAGGCTCGGGAAAAGTAAGCCTCTCGCGAGTGGGGCCGCGCCGCGGGCGGCGGGAGGCAGGTGGGCGCGGGGGTCGCGTTGCCTTGTGCCCCCCGGGGCCCGGTCTCTGCCCGCAGCGGCGGCGGCGGCGTGGAGAGCCCATTGTTGGGCGCCGGCGGAGGCTGGGGCACCCTGAAGGGGCGGCAGGGCAGCGGCGGGCGAGGGTAGTTGGTAGGCGCACGGCAGAGCGGGCGCGGGGCCCCGCGACGAGGGTGGGCGAGGTCCCGCCGCGAGCCGGTGCGCTGGGCTCCCTGGGCGCGGGGCCCCCACTTTGCCCACCGAGTGCGGGCAGGGGGCGCGTGGCTTTCTGCAGCCCCGAAGGCTCCTTTTGTCCGCCCGCGGCGTGAGGAGTGCGTGCCGGGGGCTTTGTTCGCCCGGGAGCGCTCTCCCTTCCCAGCCAGCGGCCTCGCCACCAGTCCGGTGCGCTCCGGGGCGCCGGGCTGGGCTGGGCAGGCGGCGCCGGCCTGACCCCAGGCTTGGGGGACAGTTGTTTCGGGGAGGGGGGATGCTGAGGGCGGCGCTTTGCTGCCCTCTCCAGAGCGCGCCAAGTACCCGGACCGGGGCTGAGTCTGCCCGGACCCCGAAGCTGGGCTAAGGCGGCGAGCTGAAGTGGGTTGGGAGAAGGAAGGTGGCTCTCGGCTCTTGTGTCTGGCGAGTTTTGGAGACCGAGGTGGGTTTGGTCCCAGTGCCACTTGGAAGTTAAAGTTTGGGAACGGTTCTCAGGCTCCCGCGCCTCGGGATACCTTGTCTGTGGTACCCACCCACTAGCTGTTCTGACCCGGATCCCGTCTGGGGTGATAGGCACTAAGGTCTTGTCATAGCCACAATGGGATGGCACAGACCCGGGCTCAGAGTCACTGGCAAGGTCCAGAGGAAGCCTCAGTGTGGTGATCTGACCCTTCCTTCTTTCTCTCTCTGCCCCTGCTCACTTTCCAGGTTAGCTTTATATGTCTACGAATATTTACTGCACGTAGGAGCACAGAAATCCGCACAGACCTTCTTATCAGAGGTGAGTGGGACCCCTCAGCATCCAGTTTCTTGACACCCCCCTCCTCCCCACTATTCTTAGAGCCTTTGTTTTCAGGAGCAGCCACTGTGGCCACCATTTTGAATTTTTATCACCTTTTGGCATTTATTGTTAGTTGGTCTTCACAGCCTTTTGGCTGGGGAAGACCCTGCCGGCCCCCTCCTTTCTGCCCCTCTAAGCTGCCTCCGCTCCCTCTTTTCTAGATTCGATGGGAAAAAAACATCACACTGGGAGAACCGCCGGGGTTTCTGCACTCGTGGTGGTGGTAAGTTTGTGTGATAGTTTTGTGTGTGTTTCGTTCTGGAGCCCAGGTCCAAGTGAACAAAGACAGGGGGTCTGGAGCAGGCCCTCTGCCCTTGGCCCTGCTTTCCACGGAGCGGGGCACCTCTGGGTGATCTGAGGAGGCTTGGCAAGGAAGAGGCTGCTGCCTGAAGTTTTTGCTGCCCGTTTCTCTGCCCGTGGGGAACTGAATTTTTCTATGCCAGGGTAGAAACGTCTTCTTCCTTTTCCATCCCACTCTGGGGCACTAGGCAGGGGGCTCAGAAAGAGCTGGGAGAGTTTTTGTCAAATCCTGCATGCTGCTTTAATTAGAGGAGTGGGGGCAGGGCCAGCGGAGGGGACACCAGGTCTGTTCGGCAACTGGCCTGTCCCTTATGTTTTCTTCCGTAAAGAACGCCAAACCTTCAGAGGCATCTGCTGGGCCTTTCCCAGGGACCCTGAGAAAAGCGAGAAGGGCTGCACTTCCTGTAGAGACACTGATTCAGACTGACTGGACCTTCCTTTCCTCTGCCTCCCCAACCCCCCAGCATCCCTGCAACCACAAAGCCTTATTTTACCAAGAACCTTAACCAGCCAGAGGTGGCCTGGCAGGATGCCTGCAGCTTGTTGGGGGCTGGCTGTCCTTATCTGTGACCCTCCCTCCAGGCCTGAGCAGCCTGTGGTCTTTTCTGCAGGCAGGAGGGGAGTGTAGGGTCAGAGCCTTAAGCAGACTGTCTTGAGTGCGCGAGCTGGGTGTTTTGTGGGACTCATTGGCGGAGTCTTTCACCTCTTTTTGAAAAGGAGGCAGGGCGGCTTTTGGTGTTTTGGTGGAGTTGAGGCAAATGCCGTGTCGCGTTGGGGTGTTAGCACTTACCTGACTTCCGGCTCAGGTTACTGTTTCAGGGCTCTTTGAACACTGGGAGGATGAAGTGTCTGTTCCAACTTGCGCAGAGAAAATGAGTTTTTAATGACTTCTGCCAACCTCCCAACCTCCTGGTCGGAGGAGGCAGCTGGCGTGGCGCAAGGATTCCACCTGCGGGAGTGGGTGATAGGTTGGCTGTTCGGAGGTGAGTGTGTTGATGGGATCGGCAGTGCTGATTGCCCTGGATCTTGTAGAAACGTGGGCTTGGGAGCCAGAGTTATGGTGAAGGTGCTGGGAATTTGGCGCCTCGAAGGCTTTGCTGTGTGCAGTGTGCTCCAGGGGGCAGTTGTGCAGGAGGGAAGAGTGCTCCCCAGCCTCCCTCCGCTGCTGCTTTTCCTGTTGTTCCCAGAGTCCCTTATAGCTTTTCCACCCCTCTTCCAGGAATGGAAGGTTGGTTGTGCCGGGATCAGGTTGTGGTGGCTGTGAGTGGTTGCAGTTGGCTTTGTTAGAATTTTTACCCTGCGGCTTGACCCTGAACAATGCTGTCTGTTTCCGGGGGCCCGAGGAGGCGGTGGGTCGGTTTGGATGGAGCGGGTTTTACTCTAGGCACACCTTGAAGGTGGTGCTTATCTGGTGATAGCATAGCTTGTGATGGGACCAGGAGCACTGGACCACAAGTCAGATCAGACCTCAGTTCCACTGTCCGCTGTGCCCTTCCAGCTGGTTCTGGCTAGACCTTGGGTCTGGTAGAGAGTGTTTCTAAGGCCCCGTGTTTGTGTAGCATCCATGTAGTGAGCACAGAACTTGTGTTTCTGTTCTTGGGACTATGGAGTATTGGAGTGACCGCATAGCATTACAAAGTTTGGAGTGCTGGGCCCTGGACCTGTGCTCACCCCTGCCCCCCTTATTCTGTATTGGTTGGCTGCTATCTGGGGAGGCCTTTCTGCTCAGTGAGAGAGGTTAAGGTTCTCGGTTGTCAGAGCTTCTTTGTCTCACAGACAAGTCGGGGTACAGCCTGTGGGATTAAGAGCCCGTAAGGTGCCCCTCGGTACTGGAGTCACCCAGATTGCTATGCGGACGAATCATAGTTGTGCCCCGACTTTGACAACTTTAAGCTTTTTACAGTGTGCTGCAGCCATTTTGGTTTGGGATGGTGAAAAAGGACACAGACAGAGATGGGCAGAACCTCATCCAAATTTCTGTGTAGACATCAATGGGCGGGTTATGCTGACCTTTCAAAGCTCTAGTGCCTCCTCACCACAAGCAGTGCCACTGATGGAGAGGCGCCCAGGCAAGAGGAACGGCTTAGATGGGAACTGTTACACATGCCTGGCTTTGCCAGTGGAGGTTGTGTCCTGTTTCCTTAAGGGCTGAGTTTGTCCAGTGCTGTCAGGTAGGGTGGAGCCTTTGGGAGACCTGGTGCTTGTACTGTGTGTCCTGGACCCCTCTTGTGTACACAAGTAATAATCAGTAACCCGATCTTCCTTTGTTTTTCTGTTTGCAGCGTGTTCTGGGACCTTTACTGTGCAGCCCCTGAAAGGAGAGACACTTGTGAGCATTCGAGTGAAGCAAAAGCCTTTCATGATTACGTGAGTAACACATTTTTAATCCTGGCGATAATTACAGGGTCGGATGGCTCTGACTTCTTTAGTATCGAAAGCAAGTATGGGGCCAACTGGCAGCCGTCTTTATTTTCTCCTTGCCTTCCTTCTCATTCTCCTGCCCACCTGCCTCTGCGGCCTGCTTCCCTGGACCCTCTCCCCCAAACCCTGGGTGTTTTAAGTTGGGGACCAGTATTTCATCACTTTGCAGTCATGTGAACGAGATAGAGACCTGTCTAGAGAGTGAAAGGGTGTTTGAAGACTCAAAATCGTGTGGGGTTTGATTAAGAGTTGAGGGAGGAGGCGGGGGCGGTGACACTGAGCCTGTTTGGTGTTGGCATAAGAAAAAAAGTGACCATAACCAAAAAGGCAGAAAGTAAATGTGAAACTTGTGCTTTAGACTAGAAGGGGGGGTGGGGCAGCAGTGCCGTGGAGTGGCCTTTAGCACTGGTTTCCAGTGTGGGGTACATGTGTCACACACAGCGTGGGGGCTCATCCTGAGCTTCTTAAGTGATATGTGTTAAAAAGTGCGAAGCCCGCTCACTGCCCTTTGCCCAAATACTGTCCATGAAATTATACCTATTCATGTGTGCGTGTGTTCGAATTTGAGTGTGACATAGCCTGAGGTCTGAGGGCAACTTGTGGGACTCAGTTTTTCTTCTTCTTCATCTTTTTTTTTTTTTTTTTTTTTTAAGATTTATTTATTATGTATACAATGTTCTGTCTGCATGTACACCTGCACGCCAGAAGAGGGCATCAAATCTCATTCTAGATGGTTATCAGCCACCATGTGGTTGCTGGGAATTGAACTCGGGTCCACTGGAGGAGCAGCCAGTGCTCTTAACCTCTGAGCCATCTCTCCAGCCCCAGGACTCAGTTCTCAACTTCCCCACCGCGTGCTTCCAGGGGCTCAGATCTTTGTCCTGGGGTTTGGTGGCAGGTACTGGCTCACCAGTCTTGCCAGTCTACTTGGGTTTGAGGGGAGCAAGGATACGGGGCACAAGACAGTGTCTGGCGCTGTAAAGCCAGGTTGACCTAGAGCTCAGTGTGTAGATCAGGCTGTCCTCGAATTTTTGGTAATCCTACCTCAGCCTCCCAGGTACTGAGATAGCCTCCATGGCCGGCTCAAAAATTTTCTTTTGGAAGTGGTTAAAATTTTCCAGGCTGTAGGGTCTTCTATCCTGTTGTCGACTGTCAATCTGGATAAATTTAAGGTCCATGAGATCATTACAAGGAAGGTGTCTGTGATGTTCATCTTCCATGGTAATGCTGTTTCGTTTTGTTTTTTTTTTTTTTTTTAAATACACACTGAACCAAAAATTGGTTTCGACCAGCCACACTTCATGAAACAGGTGGTTCGGCTATGTCAGAGAAGAATGTTGTGAGGAAAGGGAAGTATGTCTTCCACCACTTCCAGTAGGCACTGCAGCCGATTGCATGTGTGCATATGGTTGTGGCACATGCGTGTGCATGCACACAGTAGGTGATCTGTTTGGACTTGTATGGTAGGAACAGTCCTCACCGTCTAGGTTTAGGAACTGATGAGCAGCCTTGGGCCCCGTCTCTTGGTCAGGGCTTTTGCCGCTTCCGCAGGAAACGGGCCTAGGAGACCAAATCCCACCTGAGTTTTAGAGGCGGTCACTTTCAGTGCCTCGGTGAAAATGGCTCCCGTAACAGGACTTAGAGACCAAGCTCACTGGCTTCCTGGGTGCTTAGTGTGACGTGCTGAGGAATGGGCCCAGTTCTTGTGTCCTCTCCAGGCTTGAGAAAAAGAAGCCAGGGAGTGATGGTTCCACCTGGAGAACTTTTTGCTTGTAAAAGGGACAGGTGACTGCGTCACTCCTCACGGTGCGCCCCGGGAAGATAAGGGGTGATAATGACCATAGGGCCGAACTTCCTGAACTGGAGCTTTCGGGAAGCCGCGCGGTACAGCAGGCAGGTGAAAAGCGTCAGTGGACTGACCTTCCCCTTTCCTCCTAGCAGAAATGTCACCCCCACCACACCCATCCCTTTAAAAATAACTATAGATAGCCAAACCCACGCTGCTGGTCTCTGACCACGTGCGTTGCAGATGGTTCATTTTAGAGAGGAAGGTAGGATGGGAGTACCTGTTTCAGAATCCCCTACCCCCGTGCGGGGAATCGAACTCAGGGCCCCTTCATGTGTGCCAAGCAAGTGCGCTCACCCTGTCACTGAATTATAAAATCTAATTCCTTAAACCAGCCATTTATGTTCTTTCTATTTACATAGAGACAGTTTCACTGTGTATCCCTGGAGTTAGTTCACTAGACCAGGTTGGTCCCTGTCTCCTGAGTGCTGGGATTAAAGGCATGCGCCGCTACCGAGCTGTTTATTTCATGTGTGCGAGCCTGCATGAGTTAAGGTACACCGTGGCCATCAAGGTGTCCTAAGGATCAGAGGGCATCAGATCCTTGCTGGAACTGGAATTACAGATGTTGTGAGCCTCTTGGGGTGGGTGCTTGGAACTGAACTCAGGTCCTCTGCAGAACAGTAAACACTTAACTGCTGAGCTGTTTTTTTGTTGTTGTTTTTTTGTTTTGTTTTGCTTTGCAGCCTGAAGCTGATCTAATGATTTTTAATCAGCTTTCGCAAGCTAGTAAGCAGCATCGAGATTCTCTCTGGCAGTTTGTGGTTTGGTCTTCCATCTTGAAGCAAGATGGCAGCGGTAGAAATGGGTGCCTCAGTTTGCAGCCAGTGCTTGTTAAGGAGTGGCAGTCGAAGCCTGCAGGTTGCAGAGGTTGGCATGACATTTAGAAGATGCTGCTAAGAGATGAGGTCATATTAGTTGGGAGCCCATGATTCATAGGTTTGCAGCTCAAGGAGTTTTTCCTTAAATTGGGATCAATCAGATGCGCCCCGTGACCCAAGTCAAGTCACAAGGGAGAAGGAATGATGTGACTGAGTGGGGACTTTTTTTCTTTCCTTTTTTTTCTTTCCTTTGAGACAGGGTCTCACTATGTAGGTCTGGCTAGCCTAGAACCTGCTATGTAGAGCAGGCTGGCTTTGAACTGAGAGACAGCTGCCTGCCTCTGCCTCCTGAGTGCTGGGATCAAAGGCCGCGCTGTTGCAAGGCCCTAGGATTTTTCCCTAGTGCTGCAAAGAGAAAGGAGAGAAGACGTACTAAGAACAGTTGTGCCGCCTCTCTATTTATCCTTCTCGTTTCTTCATGTAATTTCTCTATTCCCGTGTGTCTCACTGAGTTGGCCGTCTTCCTCCTGAGATGATTCCGACGGCTTACATTTATTTTGTGTGCATATGATGTGTGAGCGTAGGGGGGCGACCCCAGTGCATGTGTGGAGCTCAGAGGGCCGCCTTCAGGAGTCAGTGCTCTCTCTCCTCCCACCCTGAGTTCTGGGACTGAACTCAGTCTCGTGGAGCACTTTTACCTGCCGAGCCATCTTGCTGGCCCCCGGGAGCTTCTTACTGGTTGCCCCCACCCCGTGGCTAGAATGTATTTTTATCTGTTTACTCAAATCCTATCTTAATTTCTTTCTAACTTCTCCTCCGAGGAGTCGTGTGTGAGAGACTGACTCTCACTGTGGTGTAACTCTCAGATCTCCCGCCTTGGCTTCCTTGAGGAGCAGGGGGTTGAGGCACAGCTCCCAAGGACACCTGCCATCAGGTTCCTCATTCGAGATCTTTGCATTTCGGGTCTGTGAAAGTCTGTCCACGCGCTGTGGCGGCCCTTGCCATGCCTCTGGTTGTGTGCTAATCACTGCACTTACTTGTTTACCCTGCCATTGCGTGCTGCTAACCCCATCTTGTAGATGAAGAAACTGAGGCACAGAGGTAGAGTTAGCCTGTGCACACAGCCCACACCAGAGTCCATTGCTGCTAACATCTCCTGGCCCAGGCCCCCAACAGCCATCACTTGCTCGTATGATCCTGGCTGATTTTTTTTTTAGATTTGCCTTTCCGGCTATAGCTCAGAATTATTTATTTATTTATTTTTAAAGCTATGGCATAAGCTGGGAGCTGTTCATCTCTGTAGCTCCCCTGAGGCCTTCCACGTAGTAAGCACAGGCTGATGGGAGGAGGGAGTGGAGTAAACCGAGAGACACAGGAGATTTTGGGGAAGGGGTTAGCCTGGGCTACTGTAGCTTGTAGATGCTTAGGTGTTAGTTCTTGAGCAAGCCGGAGTTTTACTGTCGGCTAGCCGTCGAGTCCTTCTTAGACGCGTACATACAGTATGAAGAGTGTTCACTGGCCCCAGGTGGTGAGCCAGGGAGAGTCAGAGATTCTGAAAGTACGGGGAAAGCTGTCTGGGGTTATCTGTCGGCAGGGAGGAGCCCCCCAGCTCAAATAGAAAGTATGGGTCTTGGCTATTGCACACAGTGATACTGCCGTCCTGGCCGGCCATCCTTCTCCGGGATAGGGAGGGTCAGGGCTTGGGTGATCCAGAGGGCGCCTCCCAGGTCAGGGCCAGAGGTGTGGATCCTGGAATGAGCCATGTGACTCAGCGGCAAGAGGGTTTAAGACTCTCCTTGATTTGGTGGGTTTTTATTTGAGTCAGTGTCTATTTTGCGCCTCACACCTGGCGGCCTGGGTTTTCCTGGACCATTCACAAGCCTGAACGCCTTGATGTCTGCCACATGTACATGGCGTGATAGCGGTTTTGTGTCTAGGGTGGACTTTTCTGAGAATGGGCCTGCCTACCTGGGTACCTGAGGCCACAGGAGTGAGCGGGTCCCTGTGTGAGTTCTTTATCTTTCTCCACAGGCTAAGCAATGCCTCTTAGAGTGATGAGGAAAGCTCTCAGACCCCACTGGGGCTCCCTCTGGCTTTCCTCCTGACAGGGTGATCTGTTCTTGTTCTTTCGTAAATGGACACTCCCAGGTGTTTGTGTGTCTCATACTCTGGGTCCAGAGTGGCTCTGGTCCCTTCTGGGTGGGGTGCTGTAGGATGGGTCTGTGGATGGAGAGACATGTGTTTGTTTGGTGCCTAATCAGACCCCTGGTGATCCTCTT